CTCCCTGTCACCCCCCACCCCATCCCGCCTCCCCCTTCTCCCAGCGCCTCTTCCCAGTTCCTCCCAGTCGCTTCCCACCCCGAGCCTTACTCTTGGCGGGGATGCTGGTGCCCGGCAGCGACGGCAGCAGGAGCGGCCAGGGATCGGGCAGGGATCAGGGATCGCAGCCGGGCGGCCGCTGCCGTCCGAGGGGTCTCATCTCATTTTGTCCTGTGTCACCAACACACACGCACGCACACACACACACACACACATTCGCAGCCACGTTTCCCCCCCCTTCTTGCGGCAAACGGCGGCCAGCCCCGACCCCACCCCCTGTCACAGCAGCAGCCTAACAGCGAGGACCGGGAGGATGGAGGAGGATCTGCTCGCCTTCCCTTTAACTCTTCCCTCGCCACCCCCCCAGGTCAGGGCTCTGTCCCCGCGGAGCTGGATGGGGATGCTGGGATGCTGCTTGCGCCTCCCTCCCCTCCTCGCCTTCCCCCGCAGGGCCCCGGGATGTTTGGGGTCTGCCGGTGCCCTGGCTCCGTCCCCCGCATCCTCGTCGTGCCTCTTCGCCCTCGTGCCCCCCCAAAAAAGAGCCCCCGAATGCAGCTGAGCCCTGACATTGCTGCAGGCGGTGGGGCAGGGGGTGTCTCGGGGGCACGGCCGGGGTTTGAGGGGCACGGGCAGCCCCTGGGTGACAGACCAGGCTGGGGGTGGTGGGAGCCAAGTCTGTCTGCCTGTAGCCACCATGAAAATCCCATTTTGGTCCCTATTTGCCCCCACTTGTAGGAGCAGAGCCCTTTGGGGTGGAGGGGGCACAACCTGAACCCCTGGGAGCCTCCAGTGGGGGTGGGATGGGGATGTAAAGTCGTTTTTGGGAGAGGAAACATCTCCCATCCCACGGAGAACCCAAGGAGCCGAGCTCACAGGGGGTGGGGACAAACTCCCCAAATCTCCTCTTACACTGATGAACTGAAAAAGGAACATCCAAATGGCCAAGGGCTGAAGGCAGGGCAGCCCCTGACTGTGACACTGCACCGAGTTGTCTTCTCCAAGGAGAAATGAGAGGTGCCAGCAGGAAAAGGGAAAGGGAAAGCTCACGATGTCCCTGCTCCCAGTTCAGGTCCTGCAACACGCTCTGCTTCTCCCCTTGGCCTTTCCATGGATACACGGATGTTACCCCGCTCCTGCTCATCTCTCCGGAGTCCCAGGAGGCAGGAAAGAGGCAGGAATTGCTGCCACTGAATTCTGCAGCTTTCCAGGGAAACGGCAGGGCGGGTAATTAATTATTCCTGCTAATAGTGCTGGACAGGCCCTCGGCTGCTCCCCCAGAAGCACAGGCTGTGAGTATCTCCCTGCACAGGTTGTTGCTGACAGCGCTCCAGGGGCTGTGTGTGATCCTGCTTGGATGGAAAGGGCAGCTGAGGCTCCCTGATTTACTTACAGCCTGTCACCTTTGAGGACCAGGATTAGACCAGCTGGACAAAGCCACCTCTGCTGTGGGTGGGGTTCTGCTGCTTCCCACCAGCACTGCCAAGCAATGCAGCAATTTAAGTCCAGCATGGAAAACTGAGGGGTTCTGTCCTGTCCTTCCTGGGCAGCCTGGTCTGATCTGAGCCTGGAAATGCAGCCTCATTTGGGAGTCATGCAAGGGTAGGAGGTGTCCTACAGGAAGCTCATGGAGATTTTTGTGTTGCTTCAGCTTCAGATGAACCCTACTCCACCAAGATGAACCCAGCACACACCTCCAGGATTGAGCTGCACCTGATGGGAGATGAGCTCCAGCTGGCCTCTGCAAGGGACACTGGAGTGCTCCTGGGCACCCTGAGGGGATGAACAGGAGCCTGCACGTGTCCCCCTCCCCAAAATTGGTCATGCTTAGGCTGGGGCAGGTCCAGTTTTGGAACTGAGAATCAGAATCCCAGAATCATTTCAGTTGGAAAAGACCTCTGAGTCCAAAAGTTAACCCAGCCGTGCTAAGGAGAGACGCTCTGATGGTGTTACAGTTCCACCAGGCCAGCCCAGCATGCTGTCCCCAGCTGCAGCTGCCCATGGATACCCAAGGAAGACTGAAACAGGTCAATATTTCCCCTTGGCACTCTCCAGCACCTCCAAGGGAGAGGTTTTTGCCATGTCCAGACATCCCTGGGAGCTGAGAACCCTCAGTGAGTCCATCCCCACCGCAGGGTGCTGCCTCCTCGGGTGTGTGAAGCCCAGAGCCTGTAGGACACCCCCATTCCCTCCCATCCCAATCGCTGAACCTTTTGATAAGGATTATCCCGGGTCCAGCGCTGGGGCTGCAGGATTTTCACCTTCCTCCTCGACACCGAGAGCTCGCAGATGCAGATTCCCCGCGGGATGAGCTCTCTCTCCTGATGACAGCACTCTGCCCCACTCCTCATCCTCACCCTGGCCCCGCTAACATCCCCAGTGGACTTTGTTTTCCCTGCTTTGCCGAGTGTTTTGTGTGCCTTGCTGCGGCGATGGCGCTCCAGCCGTCAGCTTGCAGCGAGTCCCCGGGAGAAGGTGCCAACTTTAACATATGCCTGAACAGTTCTTTTCAGACATATACAAACTGGAACAATGCCTCGCTGGGAATATGCTTGTTGGTGCAATTTGCCAACTGTGGCTTCAGATCTGCTCTTTTCAGCACGCACCGACTATTTGTAGACGGTGCAAAAGCCGGGATCGCCGCGCACGGATGGGGGCTCTGGAAAGCTCTCTCCAGGCATGCAGGAACCAGCAGGGAAGAGAATCAAGGGCTGGAAAAAGACCTCTGAGTCTCACAAATAATGACCAGATCAAACATTTTGCTTCTGAGAACCTCGGTCCTTTTTTCTCTTTGCTTTAGGGAAGCCAGCACTGATTTCTCCACTACGTGAAGCGTGAGCACGTTCTCACTTTGTGTGAGCAGGACTTTGCTCAGCTCACCCCATTTCCTGGGTTCAGACATCTCCCAGTGCTTCCTCCATCACTGGTGTTCACCTTCCAGGTAGGACATCATCGGGATGTGACCCTGGTGCCACTCAGGGTGTCACTACTCTGTCACCCCCTTGGAAAAAAGGGCTGACCAACCTTGGCTGGACGTTCCCCTAACTCCTTCCCATGGGTTTGCAGACACCACGGTGATGTTTGAAGTAAATTTGGGAAGATGACAACAAAGTGAGACCGGGGTTGTGGCCAGGGAGGTGGTCAGGCTTTCCAAGCAGTGGAGATGAAGCAGAGGAATTCTCTCCCCGGCACCGATGAGGACGCAGCTCTGCCCTTGCCCACGTGCCATCCTTCAACTTGCAAATTCCCAGGGCAGGGATCACATCCTGTTCTTTGCCCATGGGACAATGGATGTGGAGGTGCCCACGAGCCATCCCAGGAGCGGGAGGGTCAGTGCTGAACTCCCCGTTCCCCATGGAGCACTGCCAAAGGCCTAAGTGTTTGAGGCAGCAAATCATCAAGGGACCATTGTTCATAGCAACCTTGGTGGAAATATTTGTGTGTGTGTGTGTGTGTGTGTGTGTGTGTGTGCTGGCATCCAATTTGGCAATGGTTACTCAGCACAAGTGGGCGGCCTGTCCCTTTCTCTCAGCTGGAGCCTCCTCCTCCTCACAGGGACCCAGAAGAGGGATGAAAGGAGAGCAGATGGTTTGGGGGTGCTCCGAAATACCAGTGCCAAGGGCTGTCTCATCATGGCAGGCTGAACATGCTCGAGAGCAAGGAGGTCCCTCCAAGGATTGGGGAGGTGCAAGAGGTCTGTGAGCAGTTCTTGGGATATTGATGGTTTTGTTGGATTTTGAGGAGAAGGACCAGAAATTGAGATCTTCGGGGTGTCATGTCAAGAAGAAGAAATATTTGGGGTATGGGGTTTTGTATCAAAAATTCTCTTTAAAAGTCCAAAGGAATTTGAGGAGCTGATGCTGGAAATGGTCTTTGGGCAGGGGCCTGGAGTGACAGAACAAGGGGAATGGCTTCCCACTGCCAGAGGGGAGGGTTAGGTGGGATATTGGGAAGGAATTGTTCCCTGTGAGGGTGGTAAGGCCCTGGCACAGGGTGCCCAGAGCAGCTGTGGCTGCCCCTGGATCCCTGGCAGTGCCCAAGGCCAGGCTGGACAGGGCTTGGAGCAACCTGGGCTGGTGGAAGTTCTCCCTGGCCATGGCAGCGATGGGATTAAATGACCTTTAAAAGACTTTTGCAGCTCAAACCAATCTGTGATTTTATGCTGAAGGGACCCTGCTGGCTTTGCTGTCAAGAAGCCTCAGGGCTTCCTCCAGGTGAGGATCCAGGGTTACAAGCCTGGTGAGCTGGCCAAGGCAGGCATGCTCCGGGTTACCTCCTCTTTCAGCACCACCCCAGATCTGTCACAGTCCTTCCACGGAGAAATTCCCATTGAAAGCTTCGCTGTTGCTCTCATCCCTGCAAAAGTGAATGGAGAGATTTGTCCTGACCTCCATCCCCCTCCACAGCTCCCGGCATTTCGCTTTGCTCCAAAGCAACACTCTGCTGCTAGAATCAGCTGAGATGAAACCGAGCTGGCTCCTACACACCTTGGAGCTCAGGCAGGGCTGCTTCCCACACAGTGTCTTTCACCCAAATTAAACAGCTCCCAGCTGAGCCCTGCCATCCATCACGCCAAGCTGCAGGCACAGCTCGGGTTTGGCAGCTTTTACACCTCTGTGGGTTCAGGTTTTGTAGGGAAGGAGCAGGGATCTTTCCTCTGTGAGCGTGTTCCAAGGGGTCTGCAGCCTTGGAGGCTTTGGGACATCCTTGGGATCATGCTGGGGTCAGTGGGAGGCTGATTGTTGTTAAAGACAGCCAAGAGCTGGGCACTGAGGGCTGTTCTGTCGGGAAGGAATTCTTCCCTGTGAGGCTGGGGGTGCCCAGAGAAGCTGTGGCTGCCTCTGCATCCCTGGAAGTGTCCCAGCCCAGGTTGGACAAGGCTTGGAGCAACCTGGGATGGTGGAAGGTGGAAAGCCCCAGGTTGGAACGTGATTATCTTTAATCTCGTGACTCTCTGATTCCCTGATTTTCAGGCTGCAGTGCTGGACATTCCTGGGTGCAGACTGGCCACTCCTGGGGCTGTCACTCCTCGAGGACGTACTGCTGACCACATCCTGGTGCCCACACCATGCCAGGTGAGCAATCCCAGCTCCTTGTCTGCGTTGGTCTGAGCTCAGTTCAGTTTTCCAGGTGGTGCCTGAGAGCTCTGGAGGCTTCCCGGAATATCTGAGGCACCTACAAGGGGGAGGCAGACATGGAATGGGGTCTCCATTGGCATCACCTGTGATGGAGACCCTTGCTGGAGACAACGCTGCCTGTTTTGAGATTGAGGTCAAAACCTCATTGAGTTGGGGTTTTTGGTGGATATTGGGAAAAATCTCCTCACTGAAAGAGTGGTTAATCATTGGAAGGGGCTCCACAGGAAGTGGTGGAGTTGCCATCCTTAGAAGTGTTCAAAAAACATGTGGGGAAATGTCTTAGTGGGTGTGGTGGTAGTCAGTCAAAGGCTTTGATCTGGGAGGTCTTTTCCAACCTGAGTGATTCTGTGGGTTTAGGACAAGTCTAGGACAAATGTTTCCATCTATTTGAGGTGGGAAATGGAGCTTGGGCCACCTCAGCTCCCTGTGCCAGGCACATCTGTGTCCGTATCCACAGTCATGCCAGATAGTCACAACCAGTTTTTCTGTGGACCCCCCTGCAGAGAGGACTGATTCTTGGGGTCATTTTAGCACCTCTCCCCACACATCTGAGTGGCAGAAGAACATCTTCCAGCTCCTTAGTGTAGGCTCTGGGCTCTCCACATCAGCCACTTCAGCCAGGTGGAAATCTCCGCCTCTCTGCCACAGAAAGGCTTCAAGGGGAAAACATCATTATCCCGATTTCTACCTTTTTTTGGGATCTGCTTCCTTGGCTGGCAGATCCTCCAGCCCCTCACAGTCTGCTTGCTGGAGAGCAGCCTGGGGGGATGACCTTGGCCTCAAATTCCACCAGGAAAGTCCCCGTTGAACAAGGCTGTTGTCAGAGTCATAGTTTACAGGCATCCCAGGCAACCGCCTTGGGCTTTTTCCAGTCCTCCAGGGAGAAGCACAGTCCCAGAAATCAATAACTGAGTTCTTCTGAAAGTCAGCAGGACTCTGGCGTGACCCAAACCACTCTCTTCAGTGCTTTCTCTCTGCTGAAAGCAAAGAAAGGGTCCCTGAAGGGGAGCAGCCCTCTGTCCCATCCCCAGGGGTTGGTTTGCTCAGTGCCCACTGTGTCCCATCCTTCTGGGCACTGACTGCCCAGTTCCCCCCAGAATGGAGCCAGGCAAGGGGAGCCAAGCAGGCTTTGAGGGAAAATAACTTCATTTTTTAGTGGAAACAGCGCCCTGAGGCTCTGCTGAAGCAGGGAGAGCCAATCCCTCCTTGTGAGCCCCCAAAATTAATTTCATCTTCAGATATTCTCCCTCACTCTCTTTAAAATTAGGATTTCTTTCCTGACTCCAACAGCTCCTTATTGAACATGCAATAAACACCCAGACCCTCCCACATTTGTGTTTCCCCCTCCCCAAAACACCCATAACTTGCTTAATATTAATTTTATATTAATTCCTCTCCCAGCAGTGCTTTCTCCACATATCTGGACTACAATTACTGACTTAGGAACTCTTGTTCTCCTGCCTTATTCCTGCATCTCCCAAAAAAAACAAACAACAACCCAGCATAAAACAGCAACTGAGGACATCCCCTTGGTGCAAAGGCACCTCCTGATGTTGGGACACCACAAAGTCAAAGCTGAGGCTGACACATTCTCCTGCCCAAGGACGGGAGCTGGGCTTGGAGCCCAGAGAAGATGTTTCCCTGCCATTAATGGGATGAATTCATGCACAATTTGTGAATGAAGGTGACCAAGAGGCTGAGGGATGCACCGGCACAAGAGCTCCACATCCCACCAAAGGTTAGTCCTGCATCCCCCTCCTGTGCCTGCGCTTCCAAGGGAACAAAGGAAAAATGGAAAGAGCTCAGGAAAATGCCAAATTTTTAATGGCTTGAGAAAGCTGAATCGTGGCCAGAGATGCAGAGAGGTCGGATGGGTTTGTGCAACAAGGGGGAAGGGGTGAGTGGCTCATGGACTGACCCCATTTGTGCTCTGAAGAACTTTTGGGGGCTTCATGGCTTTGCCAGAGGAGCTGGGAAAAGGCACAGGGAAAGGCAAGGATGGGAAGATGGAGCTGCCTGAATTCCCAAGTTCACCCGTTTTTTAGCAGTGAGGGTGTTCTACCAGCTGGACAACTTACAATTGGATCCTCTCCCAGTCTTTAAACTGAGCCCATCTGTGTTTTTAAATACTAAGTTTAACCCCAGAAATGATGATACAGACAGAAAAAAAAGAAAAACAACCAACCTATTAGCCACTTTCTGGAAAGGTCTGGATCCCTTGCACTTCATGACCCCTTGGAAACCACAAGAAACTTCTGCACCTCTCAGAAACAAACTCCAGGATGTTTGAAAATCCGTTTGTGCTGCGTCCAGAGCGGGGTAGCAGCAGCTGAAGGTCACAAGCGCTGTATAAATAGAAAGGAGGTTTTGTTGTGACATGTCCATCCGGAGCCATTGCTCCTGGCTATGCCATCTGGGATGGGAGCAGGAGCCTGAGCATCCCCACTGCAGCAAAGAGAAAGGGATTCTGTCCTGCCAAGGATGACACCATGCAAAGGAGGGCGAGAACCACGAGGTTGGAACCCCGCTCCTAATTTTACCGGTTTTGGAGAAAAATCAGAGGTGTGATGGAGCTTTGGAATGCAAATTCCTCCTGTGGGGTTTCAATCACGCACCCAGGCAGGGAGAAGGAAGTTTTCAGCCATGGAGAGCATTTTCTGCCTGGGGAGTGGTTTGCAGTGACCATCCTCTCATTTGGGGACCCCATCAGAAGGGGTAAGAGGGGTTCTCTGGTGGCCTTCAGCATGTGCTGCTAGGATTTTATCCCAAGCTCTAACCACATGCTAAAGATCTTTTTTGGCCAAAATCCTCCTTAATTCCATTTCCCTGTACCTGACATTTGCCTTCCTCGTGTATTTGGTGATAAATTCTTCACGGCCTGGAGCTTGGTGCAGAACAACACCAGGAGGTCGCCTGAAGCCACGGGTCATGAGGACTCCAGCAACACCCTGTGGATGTCAGGAAAGAAGGGCAGGAAGCCATGGGGGAGAAACCTCTGGAATCTTGTAAAACCAGTGGGAAAGACACTGGGATGGCAGAGCTTGAGCCAAGGAATGGGGTGGGCAGGTGAAGGTGTTTGCTGAGGCAATTCCTGCAGCTCTTGAGGCAGTGAGAGAGGAGAGGAGAGATCTTGGCTTTCACCTCTCAGAGATAACTCCTGGTGTTTCAGGAAAGCACTTGGAGAGGGACACGGCCTTCAGGCATCTGGATGGTGGCCAGAGAGTGGCTCAGCTCTGGCTGCCTGAGGTTCATCTCTTCAGGGAATCTGCTTTCCTGATGGAAGGAGCAGTGTCCTGTCCTGTCCCAGAACAGTTGAACCCCAGAGAGACCCAGGCTGGGGCCCAGGGAGCTGTGAGGGCTTGGTGAGGGCCCTTTTTTGGGAAACCTGACCCTCTTGGGAGCAGCTCCTCTGACAGCTGCTCAATGCTGCCTTCCCCTGCTCTGTGATCTCACTCTTGGGAGGTCTCTTTTAGCCACAAATCCAGACCAGGAGCAGCACCCTGCCCTCAGGACAGCCCTTTTCCAGGCTGTCTACACCTCTTTGAGAACAAAATAATGTGGATAACTCCCCAAATTACCATCTCCTGCTACTGCTGGCTGGAAGGAATTTGCTGATCCGAGGAAGAGCTGGAGGTCAGGGATGCCGGAGCCACGGCAGGGTAAATCCAGGGCTTCAGCAGCACAGATGTGTTCCAGCCTCTCCCACTTCAACACAGCCTTGCTGGATGCATTGTTATCTTCCCACAGGATTATTTTTACCAGGTGATGAGGACAGGATCTGGAAGTCCATTGAAGCACCTAAAGATGGCTTGTTGGAAACCCATGGGAATAAAAGGAGGACAATGCCAGCTTTCCTTTTCAGCTTGGAGGGCATGACTGTTTCTCCCTCTCCTTGAAGGACAGCTGGGTGTGTGGCATTATGACCACAGAGAGGAAAATCTTTTCTCTCCTGCTCTCACTGCTGCCCTGGTATTGGATTGTGCGATGGGTCACACCTATTGATCACAGCAGGCTAAAAAAGACACAGCCCATAAATAACTCCTGACGTCCCCAGCTGGGCCAGAAATCCTGAGCAAAGGGCTCTGGGGAGAGCTGCTGTTGGTATTTCTCTGTCCTCCTCCTCTGGGGAACGCTGGGCACAGGTCTGGGTTCAGCCAGATGCTTGCAGTGCTTTTGCAGGAGTTTTCTTAGCAGGGGCTGGGTTATCTCAGTCCTTGACCCATCCCTGCCTGGAAGAGGCTGGAATGGGGCACTGCTGCTGCCCAGCCCTGTGCTGCTCCTGTGCCAGCACTGGGTTTAAGACATGAAGGCAAAGGTGACTCCGGTCTGCCCTCCCTTCCCCAAAATGAGTCACTCCTTGTGCTCAGTCTGCCCTCTGAGCCCATGGAATGCACGAGTTTGGCAGAGGAACGGTAAGAAAAGCAAGGCAGGGAGAGCAGGGCAGGGGGATCAGATTGTGCCTCCTCAAGGAAACAGCCCCAGATGGTTCTGGGGTGGAGGAGCAAAGCCTGGTCCCTGCAGGGCACCAGGGACCCTCCCAAAATCCAGGCCAGCTGCTGGCCAGGGCACGAGGGGCAGCAGCAACCCCCTCAAAGCTCTTCCTGATGCTCCACCAGGTCCCACGTGCTCCACGTGGCCTGAGCACGGTGAGGGACATGTGAGGAGAGGAGAGGACCCAGCCTGGCACCATCCCTCTCCCTCCTCCCCCGTTCCCTTGTTTTCACACAGCTGAAAAAAAAAAAAAAAAAAAATAACATTCCCCACGTAATGATGATTCGGCCAACAGGTCAAGCCAAGCATGACAGATCCCATCCTGGAGCTGGGGTCAGGCAGCAAATTGCAGCAGTGCAATTTGAGACTGAGAAAATTTGAAACTGAGATTCCTGTGCTGAGGGGCCAGTGGGGTCCCCCCAGCATCCTCCTTGCCCTGGCTTTTTGGGGGGCTGGTGGGGGGGGTCCAGCCACTGCCAAAGAGAATTTGGGAGCAGCCTTGGGGCATTTCCCACTTTATCAGAGCCCATGGCAACATTTTTGCCTGATCCAAGAGTTTTCTCAGCTTCCAGCATTCGACAGGGCACGCTGTGTCCTGCATTTTCCTGGCGGAGGGGAAGAGGCAGGAAATTATTCCAGGGGCAGCGAGGAGCTGCGGGTCCCTTGCAGGGGAGCCAGGCTGGTGCTGAGAAAGCTCCAGAAGCCTCCCAGATGATCCCAACCCAAGGAATAAAAGGGAGATGGAGAGTCAGCCAGGGAGGGGAAGGTTTATTTAGAGAAAGAACCGTGGGCTGCCTGCCCACAGCAGGCTTTGAGCTGATGATCTGCACGTGCCGTGCTCGGGGGCGGCTGGGGGAAGGAGTCCACTATTAAAAGCCTGGCAGAAGCTCTGCTGAATCCTGCTGGAGCTCGGGGAGGGCCTGATCCAGCAGGATCCCACCTCCAGTGTCACCTCATCTGACCCTGAGACACATCCAAGGCAGCTCGCCCTCTTTTCTTCCAGGGGTGCACCCAGCACTGGTGGGGAACACCAGAAATTCCAAAAAAAAGGGGTCCTTTGAAGGATTATCCAAGATTTATAATTGTCAGAATCTGTGGTATTGATGGTTCCGAGATTGTAAAATGTCTCAGTCTTTCTGTTCTGTTGCTAAAGAAGAAGCCATAATTTGTTTGTGTTGGTTTTTTTTTTAAGATTGTTTATTTTTGCTTATTTCTAATGTGTTCTGCTGCCCTGCTGTAGGTTTGTTTTTCAGGGCGGCGTGTGGGGCTCTGCTCTTTAGTGGGATGTTATAAACATTATATATTAGAAATTATGTGTGCTATATTTATAATACTGTGTTAATATTCATTATTTATGTTGAATAGTGTGTTTTTAGCTTAAACTAATAGAAAAATGGTAACATTATAGTGAAATATGGAGGGTATGAAGAAGAAAAAGGACAAAACACACTTAATTTTTAAATTTTGTTTCTTTTGAACTTTTAATTTAGAATTTTAAAATTTTACTTTTGCACTTGTGCTATACTTAATTATTACTTATATTAAATACTTAGAGCTTGTAATTCATTTTGTAAGATTGAAAACTCTTTTCCATGGCCAGAGATCACAGCCAGTGTCTCTGGGGGCTCTGTCCAGGGGGGTTCCTGACCCCTGCCAGGGTCCCAGACCTGCCAGGGCAGTGAGGGAAGCTCTGGATTCCCACATATAATGTGCCCAGAGCTCCACAAAAGCCCTGAGCATCCTCTGGGAATAGGTGAGGAAGGGCTGTGATGCTGTGGAGAGGCTGGAGCTGTGCAGCTTCCCACCCTCCTGAGCTGGGCGCAGCCTGGAATGCCAATGATCCTCGGCATTAATGGTGATCCGGGCACTGAACCCATCCCTGGGCACTTCTCATCCCTCCAGACACCTCCCAGCGATGGGATGAGCACAGGAGAATCCATCTCCTTCCCTCTCCATCCCTAAGCACACCCTGCTCCGGGGACAGCTCTGCCTGAAGTGATTAAGGTGGAGATTCCAGCCAAGGGCACTTCCCGGCTCATTAACAGCGGGAGGACACTGAAAAACCAGCGCTGGGTGTGCCTGGGGGTGCCGTGGATGGGGACAGGGATGGGGACAAAGTGCTCAGAGCTTTTGGGATCTCTGGGTCAGTGTTTTGGGGTCAACCACATCTGTTTGCATTGGAGCAGTGGGGAATCAGCACAGAATCATGGATTGGTCACCTCAAAGGACTTCTGTTTCCACCTCCTGCTGTGGGAAGGGAATCTTCCCTGATGCCTTGTGAAGGCTGACCTAGAGCAGAGGCTGGACAGAGCTGAAGAATAAAGCAGGGATTTATTTAAAAGCCTCCATGGATCCACCTTGGGCAGCACAAGAGCCCAGCTAGGATGAACCAAAATGGTCACAAAATGCATGACTGGTCACGGGGTCTCTCACTTTTATCAGTTCTGCTCCATTTGCACGTTGGAGTTCATTGTCCCATTCCAGCTTTAGCCCAGGCAGTCCCATCCTTCTTGGTTTTCTCTCTCCAGCCCACGTTGTTTATGCTCCTGGGGCTGAGATTTGGATCGTTTGTCCTTGGTCCCAGCTGGAGAAGGAATTGTTTTGTCTCCCTGCTCTGTGAGGAGAGCTCACCATCCCCACATATGAAGCTCAGAAGTGCACACTAAAGCAGCACAGAATGTGAGTAATAGAAAAGCCAAAACCTGAGGCATCACCCTTATCCCAGGTTGCTCCAAGCCCTGTCCAACCTGGCCTTGGGAAGTGAGATGAGATGTGAGGAAGGA